GAGTAGCGATTAAAAAGGTACCATATTAAAAACCCTTTGTCATGTCAATATCGACCTCTCTTCCTTAAACCTAATGCCTCATAATATACTCTATACTTCTTATATGATCCTTTGAGATAACATAAACCCTTGAAGAGTTGAATTTTTAGAAAGAAAGCATGCTCATTAAAACTGGATGCCAGAGAACTTTGTATTTTTTCTTACCTTCCTAGTAAACTAACTATGTTGTAACTACGATTGTAATAGGTTCCTAATTTAGCATTTCATTAGATGATAGTAATGTCATGTTATGCTTTAGCATTCTTGGACAACTGAATCATATATTTCCCGAAAAACACCCTCAATTCATTTTCATAAGATGTACAGTTTAAAGGAAATCAATGAGAAACTAAAAATTTGCCACTAGAAAAAATGAATGTCAGAGAAGCCATGCTTACAGATAAAGCAACTACTAAAAGTTGAAGGGATGCTGGTTTTTACTAGATTTAATTAAAAATTATTTAGGCATACTTACAGAATTTCGGGCTACTTTTACAACAATATATGGTGATTAAAGCCAAACCCAAACTATCTACCATCACCCACAATACACATAATAACCTTTATTAACAACATATTACCATCATCAATAAAATAGAAGAGAAGAAATTGATCTGATATATGAAATAATACCTTTCCGCGAAGATGATCATATTCTCTCTCATTTATGTGGATATAAAGGGTCCTAGCAAAACTAACAATGTCAATCCACCCTTTTTGAGACAATCCTGCGTGAAGACCACTAGATTGAACTTCTTCACTGTTTGTTTTCTTCTTCAAACCTCGAGCCCCCCATTTCTCCCATATCACTTTATAAACACCCTGCAAGTTATCGGCCCAATCATCAAAAGCTCTCATGTCACACAACTCGTCGTCTAGGACCGCATAAAGAATTTTCTGGCTAGACATCATCGCCTTAAAACGATGAACAAAAGAAATGCGCTCTCTGACTGTCCAAAAATAGGGGTGGTCAATTTGGTACCATACCGGTACCCTCTTCCTGCACAAGAAAGCCATACTTGTATGAATAAATAACTACGTGCAAATTCACTTACTATAGAAGAAAATAAAAATCAAGTAAAGAATTTAAAAAATCCACATCATATTTCAAGTACAAAAGTTCACAATACATACGGAGTTTTTACACCAATGAAACTGAAAAACCTTTTCAGTTCCAAAGGTAAGGGAAAGTCGTCCAAAGTAGCTTCAGGAAAGGGATGTAAGATGACAGATTTCATCAGCATAACAAAATCATGCAAATCATGTTTTCGACGACTATCAACTGCCATTGACGGCAAAATTTTTCCCCTTTGTCCGTCGGTAACATAGGCATTAAACGCCAACTGCCCACAAGCTTGACTCCTTGAGTAGAGAAAGAGAAGTGCATGAGCAATGTCCCTGACCAAATATAGTAGGGGAAAGAAACATTAGAAAAAGAATAAGCAAAGAAAAGTGAATAAGTTTTTCTTTTAGATACAAAAAAAATTATTACAAGAAAAGCAATTCGAAGACGAGAGATATAATTACCTAAATATTGATTGGTGCAAAGGAGCTATATGACTCCACCAACACTCAGGAGTTTTTGGAACACCTAGGGACCAAAGACACTCCGCCTCTGAGCTAAAGAAGACATCCAAGACATGGGCAGGTTCGGTTAGGATGAAAGAATAGCTAGTGGAGGGAATGCTAGCCAAGTGAATGATCGACAAAAGTGTGTCATGAGAACAACATAAGTCCCTCAGTTGTTTGAAGTTAGTGAGCCGAGAATAATCTGCAGGCACATACATTACTGGAAGATTGGATCCACAACTTTTCATAAGGCCCCTTAGGCCTTCAAGAGCAGTAGAGTAGCGCGTGCATTTGAGTATAATATCAAACTGCAAGAGTTTAAAATGAGACAAGTTGTTTCCATATGACCAATAATTTCACGGAGAACATTATTGCATGTGAATACTACTTTGGAATTTAAGGGAAAAAAAAGCACAACCAATTTAGTATGCAATTCGCATTATAGTATTCTGAAAGCAAAAAAAAATTGTACTTTTGTCCCTATAAGAAATTAGAAATATAACAAAATCACAATTCAAGTGAAACACTACACTTAAGGGAGCATATAAGAGATATAACTCTTCCGAAAGCCAAAAAACATTGTACCTTTGGCCCTATAAGCAACTAGAAATATAGCAAAATCACAATTCAGGGTGAAACACTAAAATAATCTTAGAATAAACTACATGTATCGAGGCTGCTCAAAAGTAATTATTCAAGTCACAGTAAGTTTGTTGAAAAGTATAACGTTAATGAAACTTTCACATATTGTTGCAGACATGGGGAAAAATGTTCCAAGCAACAAGTTAAAAAAACATCAAGAATGATCTAATGCAATACTACACAGATTGTACTAAAAACTAAAATATCTGCAAAGATTTGGAATCACCGATGTTAAACACAATTCTCCAATGAGCTGCCATTTACTTAGGAGTTAGCTGCCACTTACTTAGGAGGACAAACAATATCAATATTACCACTCAAGACCTTTTTGAGAACAAAATAGAGCCCCAACATTTGCAATTCTTTTATGAGAACAAGAGCTCAAGAGCTAGGAAACTTCAGCAATCCATACTTCATAAATCACGTAAAATTGTACAATAAAAATACAAATAAGCATGAAAAAAATTTGAAAATAATTAGAGGGCGGTTCACATCGATTGTACAAAGTGAAAGCACCAACAAGAAGTCCAAAGAAAACATCACACAATCATATGTAAGAACTCAGTCTATTATCTGTCCAGTTACACTCATCTTTTACTTGATACCTTTGCCCGATCTTTTACGTATAATCACCAAACTTTGATATCCTACAATACAATGCGAAAACATTACATGTCCATTTGATAATTATCCATGTTTCCAACTTATCAACAAGAATGAAAAGAGCTACTTCCCCAACAATGTTCAAAAGAAACCTAAAATGCTCTGATAGACCAAACACAAAACCTCAAAACAACGTGTGGACAACCCATTTGATCTATAAACCCTTTAAAAGTTGTCCATTGTAATTAAACCGATATGAGAAAAGTTTCATGCATTGCAAATGTATGAGTTTCATGACACCGTAACACACCAGAACATAAAGGACAAGAGTACCCAACATAATAAAGATAAACAAAAGGATTTTAAGACCAAGAATTAAAACCTCATTTTTCTGTCCAGAAACTTCATCCTTGATGCCTTCGGTTTGATTAGTACTGTAGAAATAAAAAAACAAAACAAAGATGATATTTAGATAAATATGCACAAAGGTTTAAACATCACTAGCTTCAATGTGCCAATGAAATTATGTTACACATTCAAACCCAAGTTTTAATGTCTTCACCCACCAACAAAGAATATTTACCAAAACTTGACAAAACAGAGAAAGTAAAGAGACTATGAAATGTAAAGGTTCAACAATCGACCTGGTCTCAGAATTGTAGACAATAACTTCACTAGCAGATTCAATTGTATTTTGCATGAAACTAGCCTTCTTATTTGCACTTTTGCACTTAGATTCCCTCTTGTGCTCCCTGTATTCTTCCTGTAGCACATCCAATTGGGTCTTGAATTTTTCTTTCCAATTTTCCTTCCTAGCATGCTTGACTGCAGCTTCAAAGAAATTAATGGCACTACCAAGTTCTTTTTGTGCGAAGATATGCTCCCTATACAACAAAAAGGCCAAAAAGAGGGAATTTATAATGACAAAATGAAAACCGAATAGCTCATTTAAAATTAATAATTTGTTAACAAAGATGTCATTACCCAAAAATGTCAGCCACTTCTGAACACTTGAAGAAGGTCCCATATTTTTTATGAATCTCAAAAGCTGTGGAAGCCTCCATAAGTGCAGCTGGTGTGCATGGAAGAGACAAGACATAAAACGCAAATACACTTTAGCACTGAGAAGTGAAGATAGATATTCCAAGCTTAGAGTTAAATTCAAAGGTACAATTGCTTGGGAATATGTAAAGAAAAGGAGATCAAACCCGAACAAAGCTACCAATAATTTTACTTACTCAATGCATACACCACAAATCTAGACTTGGTAACTATTATACTCCGTACTTGGAAATAACAACTAATTTACCTTTTCTCTCTTCATTATTAATGTAAACCATTGCGCGCAACTCATAGAGAACACATTGTTCTACCTCCTTTTCTCTTGAATCGCCAGTACATTGTTCGAAGCACGTCTTGATGAACGCCAGTGCTTTATCATATTCTTGCTTCTCAATCTGACCAAGAACAAGTTTTTCAATTTTGGCAAGCCGGCTTATTCTACTCTCTGTTTCTCCTTCGGGTCCGATAACCTAAGTAACACAGAAAAGCACATTTAGCTCTTGACAACCAATAATATGAGGAACGACAAGAACACATATGAATGATGTCAAAACCAAAAAACCAACGCATAAAAGTGGGAAAGAAGAAAGAATGCTCTTAGTTAATGAATCAAAAGTGTCAAAAGCCAAACACCTAGGAAAAAACTAACAAATGACAACTACCTAGCGCATCATTGCTTGATTAGAATATTGCTTACAGCTCAATTCTACATATCAAAAGTGTCAAATAAAGCCTGTAACCACCGACATGAATTCCACAACATCCACAACATAGCAACATGCAAAAAACAAAGCGAGACGTGCATAAAGTTCAAGTCTACTTTTCTATCTACAATTTACATGACTTGATACCCAGTTTTTAGGAACCGTAACTACAAGATAGTTTTTAAAAATTTATGAGAAATTAGAAGTAAGAAAAAGATAAATATGGCTTTCAAAAAAATAAATACATATGAAGAAAACAAAATAATAAATGCAAAATAGGGAGGGATGAAGGCCATTCAAATTAGTTTTATTTCAGTTCAATTTAATTAAGTATTTTTTCATTAAATGAAAAATATTATTGTTTTTGATTAGTAATAAACACTTCCCTTTTTATTTGATATAAAAATAAAACTCAAAGCTTACAAAGGAATACAGTATTTTTTCTGCTCCCTATTTGTCATTCGAGTTTGATAACCTAAGTAACATGAATTTGCACCTTTATCTTTTGACAAGTAATAATATGAGTAACAAAAAGAACACTTCGTAATTATAACACTCTAAAACATATCCTAAATGTTTATTATATTTATAAGAGTATTATTTAAACAAACTCAACTTCATTCAAATGAAATAATATGAGTAATATAGACAGGGTGTACGATCCTAAGAACATGCTTAGGACGTAATACTTCTGGCTAAAATACGTGCAATAGAATTAAAATCTTTACGAAAAAATCAATGCTAATATTATAAAAAAACAACTCAAAACAATCGTCAAGAATAGATCCCCAATAAAAATGGCACACCTGTAATAGGTCATTTTATGATACCTGAACTGATTCTTCATTCTTGGGAGAAATGTCGAGGGATTGTGAAGAAAGTAGCGGTTCATCTGTACGAGGTACCTGAAGTAACAAAACTACATTATGAACACAAAATTTGTAGAAAAGGTCAACGAAAAACCCAAAAGAACAACTCATGTAAAGTAGGAGATGATGTCAAAAGCCTACAATATGTAAGCATTAAAAAAGATGTAAACAGCCTTACAACTTCTATAATTTCAACAATAAAGTAACAATCATGTTACCACACTAAACTGTGTGCCCAAGAAAATCAATAAGGCTCCGTTAGGTACGTAAAATTCAAATTATGGGATTGGAATTGGGGACAACAATTTCAATTATGTTGTTTGGTAGCAGAAAAATATGTGAATTTGGAATTGGTAGTGCAAAAAATGAATTAGAATTGGAGAATTCAATTCCATCCAAATCAATTCCATAGAATTTCAATATTCATTCAATTCAAATTCTGTCAACTCTGTGTACCAAATGGACCCTAAGTGGTTTATATAAACTTGCATTTTCTACATTTGCAATTGTATTATAATTTTTTGGCCCGTTCAACTGATCTTTTCTCCATTACGAACTTGATAGAACAAACAAAACCTGAGGTGTATCCTATGCAATTCTAAATTTTACTGATCCACTTGAATCAAGAAATTTTACGTCCAGAAGTGGCAATTAAAAACTTAATAAAAGAGATGATACCTGGTTTGAATCCTCGATATTATGAGCAATGACTGTGGATGCTGAAGTAGATGATGGTGGAACAACTTCACCAGGAACCTGCTAGAACAGAAGTACAAAAAATTAAAAAAATATCACTTGCAAAAGGACAAAGATCAATCATACATGAATCTAATATAAAATTATTACCTAGATATCATTAAAAACTGAATGAAAAATGATTACACTTTTATTTAGATAAAAGAGAAAAATTGAGAATGACGATAAAAATAAGCTTAAAAATAGCACAACAATGCCTTTTAAGCAAACAATTTTACCTTCTGCTTTTTTTTTGTTTTCTTTTTAAAGAAAGACCCACTAGGAAAAGGAAGACTCAAACGTGTTTTCAATTCCAAACATATCTGAAAATGTTTCTCAACCAAATCTTTTTTTCTGTCTTGATTGCTCACAACACTGCAAAATAAACATGCATTCATAAGTAAACAAAATATGGCATGATATATTTTATTGAAAACCAAAAGACACATTAACTTACCAATAAAAAAAATGTAAAATTAGATCAAAATATTCTTGTTTTTGTCCACGCTGTTCAATAGCTTTCAAAACAGACATAGCTGCTTTCCTCCAATTTTCTTTCTTGAAAAAAGTCAGAGCTTCATCGACATTTTTATCACCATTCCCATCTAGAATGTCACAGAACAGTACAACAAATGCTTTGTGCATTTCATCCGTTTGGTTGATATGTTCTTCTAGACTATCCCTATTATATAGATAGAGTGAGTATATCCGAATTCTCAATATAATAAACCTTTTACAAAGTCTAAAAACATTAAAATGAATAATACAAATACAAACTATTTACCATAAATTCTTGATCCCATTAGAAGCAAATGCAATGAACCTGTCAAATAATGTACTTTCAAAAAAAGTACTCTGAAAGATCTCACTGCAAAGACTATCACATGACAAGAATTCCTCGTAAGCTCGGGCATAATGGTTTCTTCTATAATGCAACAATCTGTAAAAATATAATATGAAAAAAACCAAAGATCAACAATTGAATTGGGCGAGAAACAGAAACACTAAATTAATACATACTCCCTCCGTCCCCCATAGATCTTCTCAATAGCCCTTTTTCTTTGTCCACAATAGATCTTCTCATTTCATTTTTTAACAATTAAAATACCACAACTACCCTCACTTACTTTATTTATTACACCTCACTCACCTCATTTAATACACTCCACCCATTTTTCATTAAGGGTATTATGGTAAACTTTCACCTTTTTTCAACTCTCCTTAAAAACCACCAAAAGTCAAAATGAGAACATCTTAGGGAGACGGAGGGAGTATTAAAAAGTATATATAAGTGATATACTTGATTCAAACCAATAAAGAAAAACAAACTTACCCCTTAAAAAATGTTAAGCAAAGATCAAGGTATTCTTTTTTTAGTTCACAACGTCCAGCACACGCTAAATTAACACAAACAACGGCTTCCTTCCACCTTTCATCCTTGAAGCTAGTAAGAGCCCTAGAAACATATGAACCACCTCCATCCAAAAATTTAGAAAACAGTGTATTCAACACTGCATGCATTTCAGTTGTTTGATCCATAAAGTTCTCTACATCATTCCTAGAAAAACAACAGATACAGAACTACAGAGTTTATTATAGTCAAAATAGTCATTTAAAATAAGAGAATAGAATATTTACCAAATTTTAAAATGGACAAATAAAAGAATAAAATGTTTACCAGTATTTCTTGACCTCGTGAGAAGCTAAATTCAAAAAATTCACAACATCACCACGATTGTAGAGTTTGCGGCAAAGTTTATCAGACAAATAAAACTGTTCATAGGCTTCAACAAAATTACTTTTTCTAAAATATAATAATCTGCAAAATTACCAAAGTAATTAGAAACAAAAAAAAACTCTAGCAAGTATATAACACATACATAGAAAGCGGAGAAATTACCCCATTATAAATCTTAGCAAAAATTCAGCATCATCCGCCAGAACAAAATTATTAATAGCATGCCCAGCACTATCAAAGGTTTTACCCCATTCCTTTTCCTTAAACTCTTCAACAAGGGTGTCATATCCACTTGGCACAGGATAAAAATATGATGCAGGAGGAAACACTCTTTTCAACTGTGAACATAACCCATCAATATCGTAAATGTCAGCCTTAGCCTCTGATATAACTTGTAGAAAGGCCTCCATTTGCCTACAATACATATTTGTGGAAAGTGTTAGATTATTTGTCATATACTCCGTACAAAATAAGCATAGGCTTAAGACCGAAACGATTCAACTTTTGAAATCAGTTACGTAAAAAAATAAAATCGGAAAAGTAAATGCAACCAAAGCCTAAAGAACTACCTACAATACGCCAGAAACCAACACTCGGATTCGGCGGCAAGAGTTTCCAACGGTGGCGCCGGTAAAGAGAAGACAGGGAAATAACGGCAGTTCAACACTCGGATATGCTAACAGCTGACCGTACTGAAGGCAGGCGGCGGAGCTGGCTTGAGGCGATTGAGGCAGAAGTGGTAGGCGTGAGGCAGGATTAAGCAAGCCGGCAGAAGGGGTAGGCGTGAGCCATGCAGTTCATGCCCTAGAATTTGGTTTGCTCAGGTCTGTCCCAGGAAGGGGGGACAACCCTTATTTCAAAACGTTTAGAATTTGGGCATTTTGGGGTGGGTAAAGAGCAAAAACTGGGCAGATTTTGGGGTTAAAATTTCAGTTCTATTCGACGTTGAAAACATTGAACGCCCCATATAAACATGCTTAATGCTTGTGTATTTAATTTTTTAAGTACATTTGTGTATTTAATTTTTTATTTGTGTATAAAGTTATCATTATGTATTCAATATCTAATTTTTTAATTATTTTCATCATTATTTGAAACTATTACTTTACATATTAGGTAAATTTGTATATTTTGTGAGTGTTTTATTTGTAACTTTAACATTAAAAATTTTCATTCAATCCTTTATACGAAGTACATATTATATTCCCTCCGTCTCAAACTAAGGTATTTAGTTTCTTTTGGCATAATGTTTAAGAAAAATAAAAATGTGTGTTTCAAAGTGATCCAGATGAGGAATAATTTGTGGGTCACTCAAAGTTTTACACAAAAAAGAAATACCAATAGGCTTTTAAAAGACGTTTCAAAAAGAAAAAATAAATAAAACTCTTTTTTAAAACGGGGTGAGTATGTCCTTTAGAGCAACCGCATTGCACGGACTACTCAGGCGGAGGAGAAATACTTCTCCAGGATGAGTTGCTACATTGGACAGAGAGGTTAAAGGAGGACTCCTTCTCCGCCCAAATTTCGAGATGAAAACGGAGTACTACTCCACCGCGGAGTAAAAGGAATTGAGATAGGACATGGCCAATCCCTATATGACATGTGTCGCTTCTTCTTTCCCATTCTTTTTTAATGAGTAATACTCCAAAAAGTGTATTGGGTTGTAGGAATAGTTTTTTATGGTGGAATTGAACAAAAAAAATTGAATGGTTTGAATTAATCTGAAGAGAAAAAAATTCAATCACTTTTCTTTTTTATTTTTGAGAAAATACACTTTTCTTTCTTTGTTTTTAAACACGTACTCTTTCTTTTTTTTCTTCTTCTTCTAAATATTTACCATAATCAAATTTTTAGAAATGAAATGTAAAACTTTTAAAATTATTTTTACCATAATTTAAAATTTACAAGTTCATTTGTAGTAATAAATTTAATTATATGTTCGTAGATAACTTTTGGCTCCTTGTTGAAAAAAGTTTAATTAACTTTTTTATGTTTATTAATGAATACAATTTTATTTTTAATTATTTTGTAAATTAAAATAATTCTATATAGTATAAATATTTAATAATAAAAAATTATCTAAGTCACATAATAAATAGTGTATTAGTAATCCTTTTGATGTTAGAGTTGAGGAGGAGTAAATGGAGAAGTTGTGAATTGGACCCACAAAATATGATGTGGAAGAGAGAGGTTGAAGTAATCCTCCCTTTACTCCTCCACTTAATGTGGGTGCTCTTATACTCCGTATGTGCTGAAGTGTCACTTTTTTACAAGTAATAAGTGGCGTGGCAAGAGAGAAATAAAGAAACTTTGTCTCTCAAAAAAATTTTTTAAAAAAATACATTTCAAAACAATTGAATATTTACTTCCTTTTTTAGAATTTCCCATTTTCAATAATTATCTCCCTTTTCTTTTAGTCATTTTCTAAAATGATAATTTCCTTTTCAAAAAGAATTGTTAATTCAAATTTTTTATTTACAATTTTTTGCCTGGATTTCATTTCATCTCAAAAGCCACACATGAATTTTGGTGTTTGAGTATTTTTTAGTAAAATAATATAGTGATGTAATAAATTAAATTGTATTACATAATAAAATTAGTGAAACATAAATATGGTATCGTATAAAATTTATTTATTAATTGAAAAAATAAATGTTGGGTAAAGAAGCTATAGAGCAACGCTATCACGTGGGTGAATTGGTAAAACAATTCGTTATACCCTTATTGACAATTAGGGGAAATTAAATTCGCTGCCGTTCAACTGACATTTAACTTAAATGTCATCGTATGACATTTTAATTCTCAACCCTTGGATTTAATAACTTTTTAAATCAATGGATCAGATTTATCCATCATTATTTGGATCTATCTCACCTAAAATTAACCGAGCCCCCACCCACTGCTCCGTCTCTGCTTCAATTTGCTCGTCTCGTCTCTATCTCTCTTCTGTCTATTCCATTCTTCTCTGCAATCAAAGCACCTACCGGCGACGGCTTGCATCTCGGCGCCCAAATTTCTTTAACCCTAGCCAGTTCTTCCACACACCCTCTCTGGTGATAATTCAATTCTCAATCGAAATTCCAGTTGTTTGGGTTTGGGATCAGGGCTCCAATGGTTTTTATCATTGTCTGCTATAATGCATTTTGCAGGGAAAAAATCATTCATTAGGTACTTTTTTTGAAGAATTATACTTTCCCAATTTAATTATTTCTTGAATTCGAATTTACATTACTTCAAAAATGTTTTTTTCTTGATTTCGAATTTACAGTGCTTCAAAAGTGTATATGTTTTTATACAACACTAAAAATGCAACATATTTATTCATTACAAATATTTCAGGCACTAAAAATGCAGAAAATTATTCATTATGTACTTTTTTTCTAAAGATTTTTACTTTCTCAATTAAATTATTTCTTGAATTCGGGAAATTGATCACATCCATGTAATGGAGTTGATGTGTGTTGATGAACTAACGCCGTTACAAATGTCTAACATGAGCACTTCCGATTCAATCGTTGGTTTTTGTGAGTCGTTCTTAATGCCAAAAAAAGTAAGAATCAAAGTGCATGATGACAACATTCCCAAGGTTCAAATGACTTTTACAATTATTGAGGAATTTGAGGAGTTCTACAAAACTTATAGTTTGTGTAATGGCTTTTATACAAGAAGGCAGAGCAGTGTAGGAGATGGTTATCGTAGACGGGTATGCTGAGCTGCGGGATTTAAAGATGTCCGGAAAAAACATCCTGACAGTGGAAAGGAAAAAAGGAAAAAATATTATCTAGACTAGAGCAGAGATGCCCGTTTAAAAATGACAATTCGTTTCATTTGAGACTAATTTTAATGGATGTTGACTTCGATTCATTTGGGGGTGCTTTCTTTGTTTTTACTGTGCCTTTTTTCTTCATAATTGTTGTTATATATTTACAACGGAGTACTGTTTAATATTTATGGGGTTTTGCTTGATGTTTGACCATATGGAGTTGCTAGTGGCCTATTTAGAGCTTGATTATTTTATGACTTTTTTCTTCTTCCCTAGTATAGGCCTGAGCGTGTAGGAAACAAAATTCTGATTTTTATGTGTTTGTGTGGAGATATCACCCACCCATAACCTTGTGTTGTCAAATGTGAAATGGGCCGGACAATATGGGCTCAGTTTTTTCTTTTATGAAATGTGAAGTAAGTGTGATTTTATGTATAAAAAAACAGGAATTTGGTATTTGCACCCCATGGTTTACTTTCACCGTGGTGTTACTCTTTTTTTCTTATTTTGGTAACCGGTGGAATCAGAGAATAATCACAGACATAGCCACAAGACATAAATCTAGAGCATGCACTTGACATAAATCACACCCAAACGATACAATAGAGGAATTAATCAACGATAAAAAATACATAAATCCACACTACAACTACCATGCATAGTACGTCCAACGTGCATTTTACATCTATAGGATGGTAACGTCTAGTTCATCATTACTTCGAATTTTCAATTCACAAGATTTTGGTACAACAACATTGCTACCAACAAGACAACAAATATGCAAAAACACTTCTCGTTTCTTGTATTTGCTGATTCTTGACTCCAATATTGCATTCTTGGAGTGTACTTCTCTTTCACGAGCATTGGCATCTATTACTTCTCTTTGTAAGTTCATGATAAGGCCTTGAATTGCGCTTGGCGTGACATAGTGTCGTAGTGTGTCCACAATAACAATTAGGTCTTGAGGTTAGTGATTGCGCTTCAGAAGTAACCTCATAGCTCATTTTCTTCGCTCCACTTAAATTGTACATCAAAATGTAAGATAAAGAACAAGAATTAGAACAAAGAGGTAGCCAAATGTATGAAAAATTGAACAAATATGTTGTTTAACAAATAGTCTGTTTCAAAAAATAAAAACATATACACTTTTTGAGGCACTGTAAATTCGAAATCATGAAAAAAAATTTGAAGCAATGTAAATTTGAATTCAAGAAATAATTTAATTGGGAAAGTATAATTCTTCAAAAAAAAAGTATCCAATGATTGAATTTTTCCTGCAAAATGCATTATAGCAGAAAATAATAAAAACCATGGGAGCCTAGATCCCAAACCCAAGCCACTGGAATTTCGAATGAACTTTGGATGGTTCCCTCATCCATAAAATAGAAGCAATTAATTGAACTTTCTGATGCTTGTAAAATCAAAATCAAAGTATGTTCGATTTAGAAATTCTCAATAGAACTAGAGAGGGTGTGGGAAAGAACTAGGGTTAAAGAAATTTGGGTAATCTTAAATTCAAACCGGAGGAGAGGGTGTGGGGAACTTACCTCGTGGAAGAGATGCAAGGGCGCCGAGATGCAAGCCGTCGCCGGTCGGTGCTTTGATTGCAGAGAAGAATGGAATAGACGGAAGAGAAGACGAGAGAATTGAAGCAGAGACGGAGTAGTGGGTGGGCGCTCCGTTAATTTTAGGTGAGATGGATCTAAATAATGATGGATAAATCTGATCCATTGATCTAAAAAGTTATCAAATCCAAGGGCTGAGATTTAAAATGTCATACCATGACATTTAAGTTAAATGTCAGTTGAACCGCGACGAATAAAATTAACTTTGATTAGAGTTTAGGGTGGAGGACGGGGGACTATGATTTGCAAGAACCAGAAAACATGAGAGATATGTTTATGGGTTCGTTAAAAAGGGTGCGAACAATCAATATTTTGATCACAGCACCATAGGTACCTAAGTGTGATGGTGTAATAAACAGTGTTATCACGTGATGGTGTAACTCTATAGTTCGTCATTAATTATATCATAACAAATTAGTGAAAGATAATTACTACCTCCGTCCCATTGTCTTTGTCCACATTTGACTTTTGGAACTGTTCATCTAAGCACTTTGACTCATCAAATTCTCTTAATGTGTAAGCCTAAAAATAGTCATGTGTGATCTTGTTTGATCCGTCTTAACATATAGGTTATTAATATATAATTTGTATAATTTTTTAATATACAAATTACAAGATAAAATGGATTAAAGAAGTGCATTGGATGGTGTGCAAAAAGGTAAGTGGACAAGCACAGTGGGACGGAGGGAGTAAATGATATCATTATCATCACTTACTATTTCTATCCTATCATTTTCTAATTACGAAATTCTTTTCTAAGTCGATGCCCCTCCAAAATCAACTACAAATCGGCATCTGATTTTTCTAGGATTTTGATGACTTTCAAAAATTCACGTAGAAGAGCAATTAAGGAAGCTTTCGTTTGACAAAAGCAATTAAATAGAGAGGAAGACCACCAAAATTGGACGACAAACTCGCCGGAGAAACCAGTTCTGTAGCAGACAAGTCATCGGAAAAGGAGAATCCCCCTCTTTACCCCTTGGAAAACAATAACGAAGATCAAAAATCGGAAATTTCACAATCCCTAGATCTGGATATAGCACAGACGGAACAAAACGAAGTGAAGGAAAAAAGCTATGCCGAGGCGGTAGGAATTCAAGAGGATCTAAACCTTGATCTGAAATTCATACAGGCAGAGGTCATCAATGGAGAACTAGTAGCCAGATTATCACAAGACGACATCATAGAGCCAGGTAAATATTGGGAGACTGCTCTAGTATGCTGTGTATTGGGTGCGAACCCTCCATTAGAGATCATTAAAGGTTTTCTAGCCCGTATATGGAAGAATTATGTCATTGAGGATGTCTCGTTTCTTAGAGAGGGCCAATTCATTGTCCGAATGGGGAAGGTAGAGGATAGAGATGAAATTGTTAAGAGGAAATACTACTATATGGATAACAAACCTGTATATGTTCAAGCATGGTACCCTGGATGTAAAGTCAATATATTGGAGCGCAAAGACATTCCCATTTGGATTCAGTTCCCTGACCTGGAAATGAAGTATTGGAGCCTGTCTGGACTAAGTAGACTAGGCAGCACTATTGGACAACCTATTAAGAGAGATGGAGCTACAGCCTCAAGGAGGAAATGGGCTTATGCTAGGATTCAGGTGGAAGTTTAGGTAAATCAAAACTTTCCTGACCAAATAAACTTAATAAATGAAGAAGGAAGGATCATTACACAGCCAGTCATATATGAATGGATGCCAACACTATGCTCACACTGCAATAGGATTGGACATAAGTTTGAGAACTGCAGGAAAAAAAGTGGTAGTAAAGAGAAAACCACTAAAAAGAAAATGGAGTGGAGGCCAAAAAATGAAACTGCCTATATCCCTAATGAGAAGCAGGAGCCTGAAGTGGGACACGATCCTCCCCCCTATCCTATCCCTCTGGATAAAGGAGAGCCTGAAGTGGTAACAATGACAGAAGATGAGGATGAAGGCTATACTGAGGTTAGTAAAAAGAAGGCAGCCAGAAGAATATCTTTGGAAGGAAAGGAATCAAATTACATTGGATTGTTACACAAGGATCTTAGTTTAGCCCCGTATAAGGGGCATCTCCCCTTCTTATTATGATTGGTTGCTGGAATATTAGGGGCCTCAACAGCATAAATAAACAGTACGAAATCAGGAATATCATCAATAAAAAATAAAGTGGCTGTCATGGGCATGTTGGAGACAAAAATAAGAGATTGCAATTATGAAATGGTAGCTAGAAGAATTGTGAAGGGCTGGAATTCATTCATTAATAATGATTCTCATCCCCCTGGGAGGATATGGATTATATGGGATCAAAATAAAGTTATTCTAAAGATCCTTGAGAGTTCTGATCAAGCAATTCATTGTCAAGGGAAATTTATTGGAGGGGACAATGAATTTTTCTTGACTTTTGTTTATGCCCATAATGATCAGAACAAACGAAAGGAACTGTGGAAAAACCTAAGTAATCATAAAGTCCCATCTCCTTGGTGTGTACTAGGTGATTTCAATACAATACTTCACCTGGATGAGAAGATAGGTGGAACTCAAGTTAGTCGGGAGGATCTCCAAGATTTCCAAGACTGCCTTAATGAATGTGGGCTGGAGGATCTCCCATATGAGGGACCCAAGTTCACATGGACTAACAACCAAGAAACTGGAAGAAGAATCTACTCTAAACTTGATAGAGTTCTGGGGAATGTGAGTTGGGTGCTGAGTTTCAACCTAAAAGTTTACTTCAAGGAGGAAGGGATCTCTGACCATTCACCTATGATCCTCAAATCACTGGTACAAGATAGAAAACACGCCAGTTTTAAATTTTGTGATATGTGGACCTTGGATCCCCATTTCCCAAATATAGTGCTGAAATTTGGGACAAGGATCACCAGGGGTACCTGATGCACCAAGTGGTCCAGAAACTAAAGCAACTGAAAGAACCATTGAAGAGTCTTAACAGAAATAAATTTAAATCATTGGATGATCAAATTGAAGAAACCAGATCCAGACTTAATGCAGCTCAAGAGGTATTGAGAAAGGGAGGGTCTAACCCTACTGACCTCAAGGCAGAGAAGGAGATGAGGAAAGAACTCCAAATGAAACTGAAAGCAAGGTTCCTTATGTGGACCCAGCAATCTAAAGTTGACTGGATATCAATGGGGGACCAGAATTCTAAGTTATTTTATGCCTGGCTCAAGAAAAAGAAGTATCAAAACCACATTACTACAATTACTGACTCCACGGGAGAGGTAAAGGAGGGCAAGGAAGAAGTAGCAAAAGTCCTGGTGGATTACTATCAAAATCAATTAGGTAAAATGCAGATGACAGAAGACATAAGCAAGGATATTGTGGATATGGGAGAGTGCCTCTCCATTGAAAAGCAAATGAAACTTATCTCCCCGATATCTCCTGAGGAAGTTAAGAAAGCTGTCTTTGATATCCCTAATCATAAAAGCCCGGGGCCTGATGGTTATAGTAGTGGATTCTTTAAGAATCAATGGCATAAGGTGGGTCCACTCATTACAAATGCAGTTCAGGAGTTCTTCCAGAAAGGGGAATCAATCAAGCAGATAAATGCAACAAATGTCATTGTTATACCAAAAAAGGAGACTCCTAAAAGCCCATTGGATATGAGACCAATTGCATGTTGCAATGTTCTCTACAAGATAATAGCAAAAATAATCTGTGGCAGGTTGAAAAAAGTGCTCCCTAATCTAATAGATAAAAACCAAGGGGCTTTTGTTGAGGGAAGAGAACTAGTCCACAACGTCTTACTCTGCCAGGAATTAGCGAGAGGATATGGCTGAAAGGGTATCTCCCCCAGATGTTTGATGAAACTTGACATACAGAAAGCGTACGATAATGTTAGTTGGAAGGCAATTGAACAACTGCTAATATACCTCAAGTTCCCTTCAAAGTTCTCAAACTGGATCAGATTTTGTGTCACGACCACCTCCTATTCCATACAACTTGATGGTGAAAACTTTGGTTTCTTCAAGGGAGGAAAAGGGTTGAGACAAGGGGATCCCATCTCCCCCCTTATCTTTGTAATAATCATGGAATACTTAACAAGAAGTTTCCAATACTACGCCATCCAAGAGGGCTTCTCTTTCCACCCTTTATGCAAATCAATGAAGATCATTAACATCGTGTTTGCAGATGATCTGAAGTAAGGCTTGTGAAAAATCTGTCTAAACCATTATGAATGTTCTGACTCACTTTAAGAACACAACAGGCCTACAAGTGAATCCCTCCAAGTCTGAGATAATATTTGGGGGAGTATCTTGACAAATGGAGGACAGACTGATTGCAATCACCAATATGAGCAAGGGTTCCTTTCCCTTTAGATATCTCGGGGGCCCCATCACTGCATCAAGGATAAGCAATAAGGAATGTGATAAGCTTGTGGAGAGTATGACCCAAAAAATCAATTCTTGGGGGTCAAAACACCTATCATATGCTGGGAGGGTCAATTTAATTAACTTAGTCTTATTTGGTATCATGAATTTCTGGTGCAGAATATTCATAATACCTACAAAGGTTATGAGGAAGATCCAAGCTCTTTGTAGGAATTTCCTCTGGAGTTCCTCCCCAGAATACAAAAAACACCCCTTGGTTGCCTGGGATGAGATATGTTTACCAAAAAATAATGGGGGCCTAGGAATCAGAAACGTTGTATTATGGAACACAGCCTGTATCATGAGATTAATCTAGAGTATTGCTAAGAAAGAAGACACCTTATGGATTAAATGGGTGCATGGCAGGTATCTTAAAGAGACTTCTATTTGGGATTGCACATTGAAAAATGATTCATGCTACTACTGGAAAAAATTGATTAAGGTAAGGGACTGCTTTAAGGAAATGCAATATGCTGAAGAATACAACCCTGATAAAGGATATAAGTGGCTGCTGGGGCAGAAACAAACCCCATACTGGGGCAGTGTAGTGTGGAATAGGCTCTCTATACCAAAGCATAAATTCATTCTATGGCTGATGTGTAAAGATAGGCTGCAAACAAAGAGTAGGCTTGGTAAATTTCTCCCAATTGATACATACTGTCTCTTGTGCAAGGATGGGGAGGAAAATATAGAGCATCTGTTCTGTAGATGCAACTATGCTCAGACAATGTATCTTGGATTAAAGACATGGTGTAAGTACAGCTTTGAGGGAACGACCATTGAAGAAGTCATGGAGAGGCTGAAGACTATTACACCAAGCAGAAGAAGATGGATGATTATGGCTATATACGCAACGTGTGTATATGCAATTTGGAGAGCAAGGAACTCTGTACTGCATAACAATATTAATATAACAGAGAGTATGTCTGTACAATGGGTTATTTTTCAAGTTACAACCTTCTTGAATTCTAGGGGAGCCAAATTAAGTAGCTAGATTCTATTTCAGGCTTGGTTTTGTATAGTGCGGTGAGAGTGCTCACTTATACTGATTCTTGTACTTCTATATTCTTCGGTGATGAATATGTTTTGCATTCGGTTAAAAAAAAAGGAACTAGAAGAATTGGAAGGATCTGAAAAAAACTAGGATAAACCTGAAGGAACTGCAAAGAACTAAAAGAATAAGATGAAATTGAAACACGCACTATCAAATGTTAAATTTTAACATTTTAAATTTTAAAGTTAGCATAAATATCAAATGTTAAATTTTAAAAAGTTATTGTGGTTACGTTGCACCTCAATTTATTTATGCATTATTTTGTATAAAATAATATATATGTAATTATTATATTTTATATATTACAAGATTTTTTTTCAAATATAACACATGTCATATAATGTAATCAACCTGTTTTTTCATTTATTATTGACATTTTATTTTCATTATACGGAGTAACTCTTATTTTTAGAATAAAGACAAAAAATTCTTATTTTTGTACATTTTTTTCTATTTTACTCCAACTTAGTCTTGGTCTCTAAACTATTTTGACTTCTAAAAATTTTTATAAAAATTTGAAAAATGAAAAAAAAATTAATTTTTTTAAATAAATAAGAATGAGAAAAAATTGAGTAATAAAGGAAAAGGTGACGGGCATTTTTTCCTCTGCTACTTTTTTGTTTCCTGATATTTTTGGCTTATTATTTTCCTTTTTCCTCTTTATTTTCATTTTATTTTATCCATAATTTTTTAATATAATTTAAAAAATATTTATTTTTTCCTATTTTATCAAGTAGGTTAATATACAAAAAAATTATATTATTTATATTAAAAAGTTGAGGAAAAATAACAATGAGTACGAATTGTAAAAATAATGATATGAAAAAAATGAAATAGCTATAAAATATAGTTAAGAACATAATAGCTGTAATAATAATAATAGTTGTCATCATCTGCATCATAAACCTAAAAATATATCATTTTTAAAGTAATTGGTTGAGGAGTAAAAAGAGTTTAAAGAAAATAAAATAATTGGAAGAAACTAGAAGGAACTTGAAAAACTAGAAGTTGCAAGTTTAAGTTCTAAAGAACACGCTCTAAGTGAAGCTTGCCTAGACCATCATCTCTGCCTTATATGTCGATCAGTGTATCTTTTTTCTTTATGTAGTCGATTTTTTGTTTCTAATCTGCAAATTCATATCCTCTCTTACTTTTTTCTTCGACAGTCATTAAAAATTCCGGTGATTTATTAGCTTTCGTGATGTCTAATTGATCGAGTAGCATCTCTTTAATGGATATTGTTAAATCTTTTCATACCGCAACGTACTAGTTTTTTTTCATCATCTCAGTAAATTCTTTGCCTTGGACGATTTAATATTAAATAATTAAACAAATACATCTTTTTTTTTAAATAAATTATATACTGAAAACACAATAAAAATATTATAATACAATTCATATTTGGAATAAAAACCTAAACATAATTCGTATTTTTAAAAATTTAAAAACCTAATCATCAAATACAATTGGTAGAACGAAGTTACACAAATGTTTTACCAAATTGGCTTGTAGGTGGAGGAGTGTATTCTGCTTGCGTAATGCAAACAAGTTCAAGTCTTGTTTTGCAGCATCTAGCGGTTTAACATTTTGAGGAACGTCATTCGAATCGTATTCGCATATCGCATGCCTTTCATCTTTGAGGGTCATGTTACGTAATATAAGAAAAGTATACATAACATGTCTTTGTTTTTTGGTGACCAAGCATGAGGCAGGTAATGGATAATATGACATCTCTCCCTTAGAACTCTAAATAGTTTTTCGACATCTTTTCTTGCCGATTCTTGGTTGATGGACAATAAATCCACCAAATAATCTGATTCGGAAGAATGGATCACAAGAAATAAAATAAGAACAAGAACTTGAGAATTATGTGTGTATTATTAGCTTGATTTAGCTTGAGTCTTTCCCATCTCGGGTCTCCTCTATTTATACATGGGTTCTAGACAGTTAAGGTAATTCATAATCAAAGGGAGTCCTGCTGAAACACGTGCATGTCACGTTTTCGTACTAAAGCCGTGTTTGTTTTTATGACAGGTTTTGATAATGCCAAACCGCCGTGATCAAGTCAAACTTTGAATATACAAGGCGAAGAAGGAAGACAAGAACAAGAGCTAAAAGAAGACCAAGAACGAAGACCTTAGTCTTAGTGTCGTAAGTCGGTCTTCATTGTGATCAAGACCGACCCAATCTTTACACCTTGGCTCTTTAGGCTAAAAACCTTCATTGCACTTCTTAAATCATAAAAATGTTTTTCAAACCTGTTTAAGTCATTAAAAACACTTGGTGTTCGCCCAAACCAAAAACCAAGCCATCCGGCATTCGGGTTTCAGAAACCGGCGTTCGGCTCTCGGTTATCGGCTATGGTTTTTGGCGTCCGAACCAACCAAGTGGTTTTCAACTTTTTATGATTGGTTTTCACTCTTTGGCATGTTTAAACGGTTCTCCAACAAAAACACTTTGAAAACCATCTTTCGCTTTTGGTCGTTTGACAAAAATCATTCAAAACGGCATAAACTTGGCTAGCCGTGGTTTTCACTCAAATGACGTGGTTTTTAAAGTGTCTTACTTGATTTCTTAGCCAAATACATCAAATAAGTGTTTTAAACATTTGGTTTTTTATTTTGGAGAACTTTGAATTTTTCGGTCGGGTTTCGCATCGGTTGGCTAGGCCGTGGTTAAGGCAAAAACCATGGGTTCTTGACTAACCACCCAGCCAGCGTTGGGAAGATCTTCCCATCGATGGGTAAGCGGCCCCTCAGCCAAACCAGTTTCCGGAACCATGCCAAACAGCGATGGGGAGTTCTACCCATCGCTGTTAAAGCCTTGGTGCAATATTAACACAAGGCAGAACGACCTTGCCCAGCGATGGGAAACCTATCCCATCGATGGGAACCCAGCGATGGTAAGGGTATACCATCGATGGGAAGGCATGACCGTTGGTGGTCATTAAAAGTTGATCCTTTCCTTGACCGCTGTACTTCCAATGTGCTTCTCCTAGACTTCCCTGGTATCTGCTGTATCTGCTGGTCACGGTTAAAGCAAATGAGACATCACGTCTAGTACATATCATGGCGTACATGATGGATCCAATCGCAGAGGCGTATGGAACCTTCATCATGAGTTCTTTCTGCTCGGGAGTAGAAGGACTCTGGCTAAATCGATTAGAAAGAACCGTGCCAGGTGTCATTGGTAAAGATCTTTTCTTTGAGTTAGACATGCTAAATCGATTAAGGATTTTATCTATATATGTACTTTGATTCTCTGTAGCCATCTTGATCTTGTGATTTCCGCTAAATGCATCCATGAAACTCATTAACTCGCACCCTGTTGTCTCATCCACCAATTGGTCAATGTTGGGGAGAGGAAAAGGGTCCAACGGGCAAGCTTTGTTCAGGTCGGTGTAATCGACGTACATCTGGCAGGTGTTCCCTTTGGGTGCGAGGACTACATTTTCAAACCATTCTGGGTAGCGGACTTCCCAGATGTGCCCGAAGGACTGTAGGGTTGTCACTTGCTTAGTGACAAAGTTTCTCCTCTTTGAGGAAAGGAAACGCTTCTTCTGTTTGACCGGCCTGTGGGTCGGATCCACTGCCAATTTGTGGAAATGATTCGTGGATCGACCCCAGGCATATCCTCTGTGACCTAGGCAAACAACACTTTGAACGAATGAAGGACATCCATTAGCTGCTCCTTCAATCTGAGTGGCAGGGCTTTACCTACCTTCACCTTCTGTTCTTGCTTGGTCGGGTCCAGGATAACTTCTTCAACTTCTTCCACCGGTTCAGCTTGGGGTTGCCCTTCTTCCTTTTGAATTGCAGCATATATCGTGCTCATGTTCTCATCGACCTGTGCCTGGCTCTGGGTCTCTCTAACATAGCACGACCGGGACAAACTTTGGTTTCCTCTAGCCACTCCCACCTAGGTGGGGGTGATAAACTTCATGCACAAGTGGACAGGGGAGATTACGCACTCTAAGTCTTCCAGACCCGGTCGCCCTAGGATCAAATGGTGTGCACGGTCAAGCTGCACTACCATACATTCCATGTCGAGCCAGAGTCGGTGGGTGCCATCTCCTACCCCAGCCTTCACCGTGATGGTCCTTTCTACTTCAATAGTATCCCCCGTAAATCCTAACAGCGGGGTACGGATTGGCTTCAGATTGCCCTGGGACAATCCTAGCTCCTTAAATGTGTTGTTGTACATGATGTTGACCGAGCTCCCACTAACGACCAACGTGCGGTGGACGAACACATTATTGATCTCCACCTTTATCACCACTGCGTCTCAATGGGGGCTAAGAACTGGTGGATAATCTTCATCTGTGAATATCAGAGGTTCCTTCTTCTTTCACTTGGGCAGCGGTGGTCTTTGCACCTCGGCTAGGTGCACCATGATTCTCCACTTTTTTCGTGAGGACACCGAGTCCCCTTTGGTGTTGCCACCCATGATCAACAAAAACCCCAATGTCGGTGGTTATGCCTCTCTTCCTCGCAGTCTCTCCCCAGATGTCGTCTTCCATCTTGCCCATCCCCTGCTGTGATCACTGTAGTGGGGGCCGTTAGTCTCCTCCAGGTCCGGTTCCCTGATGCTGGTCGCTCCGGCCGAGGAGGCGGTCCTCTGGCGATCAGCTGGTCCATTTCCTTCTTCAACGTAACGCACTGCGACGTGTTGTGGGTACTGTTGCGATGGTATTCATAGTATTTGGGTGCGTCTTAGACGCCATAGCTTTCCCGACTGAGGGGAGGGGCTGGTAAGGACTGTACCGCATGGACAGACTGTCTGCTCGCCTGATTTCCTGTAGGGTTTGGCCCCCTACCAAAATCTTTCCTCTTTCTTCCCTTTGGCTGCCCGCTCTTCTTCTCCTTCCGTACAGGTGGCTCGTCATCTTCTTCTTCCAGTGCCAGATACTTTGCCCTGGCTAGCATCTCTTGGTAGGTCGAGAGCGGATTTCGTCGCAGCTCCTTGCGCACATCCCCTTGAGGAAGTGCCGCTTGGAGCATAACAATCATGGCCTGGTCGTCCGCCCCTTGGACGTCCCTAGCCTCCTTCTCCCACCTATTGATAAATTCTCAGAGTTGCTCCCCCTTTCGGATCTTCACATTGAGCAGGTGTGAGAATGGGAGCTTTTGCCTCCGGCTCGACGCGAAGTGCTCCAAGAATTTATTGGCCAGGTCGCTCCACTTGTCGATCGACCCTTTGGGCAACTTATGAAACCATTCACAAGCTTGCCCCTCCAATGTCGCCAAGAAGACCCAGTACTTAATTTCTTCGGGGTACGCATACATAACCACGTTTGCCCCGAAGCGAGCGAGGTGATCCTGGGGATCGGTCGTCCCGTTGTATGCTTTGACCTACGAAGTCTTAAAATTGTCTTGGAGAGGGCAAGACATTATCCTTCTAGAGAAGGGCGTTACCTCACTGAAGACCGCTTGGTAGTACAGGTTCTGGGCGTCCAACCGCTTCTCTAATCGCTCATACATCCTCCACAACTCGACCGCTTCCTTGTCTTCGATCGCCTTTCGTCGCTCACTACAAGAATTTTAGCTTTTTGCGACGGAATATTTTTGTCGCAAATGGCTCCTTTTCTCTCACAATTCAGGGTTACGACGGGATTTGCGACCACTTTCATTTCGTCGTAGTTTTTTGGCTGCAAACCGTCGTGCGACCATGACGTCACAACTCAACGACCACATTTACGACGGTGGTCTCCCTTCGTAGAATTTGCGACGGACTTTACAAGAGCTTCAAGATGTTCTTGTAGACATATCTGCGATGACCTTTTGCGACGGATGGAAATCATCGCAGTGGGTTTGCAACCGCATTTGCAATTTCCATTATAACACGTAAAACATTTGCGACGGAATATGACAAGATTCTGTAGACAGAAATCAGTTTCTACAGGCAGCCATACAGCTACACAATTGGCCAAAAATCAGATACCAACTAGAACAAAAGGCAGAAACAGGAAAAAAACACAAGAAATGAACAATGAGAATTTTCAAACAAACCAAATATTAATCGTAATCAAAGTAGTCTCCAATCCACAAATTGTATTATGACTCAAATATAAGGTACTTAAAGAACGTTGAAGTGTTTAACAACAATAAATAAGGGAAGTATAATGTTCAAACACAGCCCGTCGTACCACTTGCACCACCACCATCTTCATTATCAAATCGACCATCACCATGATGACCGCGGAGCATTTTTAGTTCCTCCAATATCGTTTTGTCCCTTGCTTTAACCATTGCTTTGAATTCTAGCAATTCCTTGCGCAAACTAAGAACTTCATTGTTCTCCATGTCGGAGATACCGCTAATCCTAGCTCGTCTGCTCTGTCTTAGAGTATTCTTTGGAATTTTACGCGCAGCTCAACCTGTACTGAAAACATGATTTTTTGCATCATGTCCATCAGTTGGCACATAAAATAGTTCTCCTGGCGCAACATCAATCCCCTCCTAAATAGCTTGTTCTTTCAAACTATTATAGTTCTCCTACATAATTTATGGATAACAAAATAACTCATACATACTTGTACATATAAATTATCACACACAACAATATATAAATTATTGCAAAAGCTTATGACTTACTGCCACTGTCGCTGCTTTTTCGCTGATACAAGGGTTGCACCAAAACAAAACATGAAAGCACATTATTAGATTTTCACACCTAAATAAAAACAAAACACTCCACATACACATTCAAATCATACCCACTAACAAATTTGGGACATAATTGTCATTTTCAAATTAAAGAAGAAAAAGAAAACATAAACTACACACACAATACCATCGAACTGAAGTTACCAAACTACACTTTCTGAAGTTACCAAATAATGCACAAACACGTCATTTGAAAAATAAAACACATACCCTACACACAATACCACCCAAACACTCCAAACACACTTCCCCATAGACTACCCACCTAACCCCAACCAAACAGCCCGAAACGTTACACCCAACCCCTCCACGTTTTCCACAGCCCCAGCCCCCATTCCCGTAGCCCCCAACCCCCAAC